TTACCTTCTCACGAGTCTTTTCCAGGAAAGTAAGAGCCACATTAGGATCTAGAATAGAAACATGAACAAAGTCAGACCTACCAACAGCAGCTTTTTACCACCTAAGACATCTTTAGGCAAGAAAACAGTGACATTTCTCTCTCAAGTACACCGATGCTAGCCTGGGACTATGTGACTCAGGCTGTCATCTCAGTGGGCATCACTAACCCTGGCCAATTTGGTATTCTCTATTATGAAACAAACAGAGGCTTACCGGTCATCTGTCTAACCACATGAAGAATTATTTCTACCAGGGACAAAGGGTTTACCCTGAAATAAAAATCACCAGTTTTGAGTGTTAAAAACCACTAATGCATTTATTTTCAAAGTAGAAAACTAACAAAAGGGGATTACCTGTGTTCAAATTCACTGATGAAGTTTTCGTAAAGCTGCAAACCAAAGATGGAGAATTAGTACAGAGAGAGCTTCACTCTGCGAAACCAGACTCTGAAAACTACTTCTGGTCAGAGCTGCAGCACTGAGACCGTCAGGTGCAAGTGTGCAAACCACAATGCGCGTCACATAGAAAGCACTGCCTAAGCCTCTGCTGAATGATATAGGAGAGACAACCATCTCAGGGTTTATTTGAGTCACATAAATGATCACCAATGGACTATTGAAGAAAACCAGAGCTCCTAGCTTTGAGACTCATAACACTGGTTTATAAGAGTCTCCTAAACAGCCAGGTAGGTGATGGTGGCGCAAGACTTTAATCCTAGTACTTGGGAGGCAGAGGCAGGCGGATCTTTGTGATCCTGGTCTATAGAGCTAGTTCCAGGTCACCTGGAGCTACAAAGAGAGTTTGCTTTAAAAAAACCAAACAATAAAAATAAAATAAAATAAAAAAAAAATCAGGGGTTGGAGAGATGGCTTAGCGGTTAAGAGCACTGGGGCTCATCCAGAGGTCCTAAGTTCAATTCCCAGCAACCACATGGTAGCTCATAACCACCTATAGTGGGATCTGATGCCTTTCTCTGGCATAAAGCCATACATGTAGATAAAGCACTCATTTACATAAATAAATCTTTTAAAAAATCTCCTAAATATCAAATCCTAAATTGTTCTTCCAAGGTGCTCAGTACAATAGCTGCACCAGGGTGAAGCTTTCCTAATCAAACAGAATAGAGTTCCTTCAGATTTCAGAAGGTTCTAGGCCTTCGATAGGCCTGTGTTACCATTTCTTAGCCACTCAGCACACACAAGCACCTCCTCAGACACTAGGCCAGTACTACAGACACACCATGGGAGGCAAATGCTGAGGTTCAGGACACTCCTGAACTACTGGAGAAGACAGAACAAGAGAACGGTAACATTCTTAGTTTAAGAAACACAGAAAAGAATGGGAGAAGTGGCTTGGTGGTTAAGAGCACTTGCTGCTGTTGCAGAGAACCTGGGTTCAGGTCTCACTACACACGTGATGGTTTATAACCATACCTAACACCTATTCCAGGGGATCGGACGTCCTCCTCTAACCTCTGAGAGCACCAACCATGCCCACAGTACTCATACACACATGAAGGCGAAACATTCTTTTTTTTTTTTAAGATTTATTTATTTATTATGTATACAACATTCTGCCTCGATGTATGCCCGCACACCAGAGGAGGGCGCCAGATCTCAGTACAGATGGTTGTGAGCCACCATGTGGTTGCTGGGAATTGAACTCAGGACCTCTGGAAGAGCAGCCAGTGCTCTTAACCTCTGAGCCATCTCTCCAGCCCGAAGGCGAAACATTCTTATACATAAAAACCTCCTCAAAAAGAAACAAGGGGGAGGGGTATATCAGTTGAAGACTAGAAAAGGATAAATATGCACCACTATGATATAGAATATGCAACGTGTCTGATTTATCATTTCCCCACATGATCTAAGAGACAGAACACCCAGCAAAATCTTTAGGCTTACAAGTGACTGCAAATTCTTAAGGGTGATAAAATGTCAAACTGATAAATAAAAATCCCAAGAACATCTTAAGCCCCAGGAGATGAGGTAGTGAGTGGTAAGCTTCATTATGCACAATATAATGTATCAAGGAGTAAGAACTCAAGCTACGAGTCCAAGCTAACTCCCCCTTTCAAAAGCAGACGACGGCAGGACAGAGTTCAGAAAAGAGGCTTCTGGTGAGGAAATCCAGGGGTATCTGACAACGCATCTGTGAGGCATGGGAAAGAGTGTGGATAAAATTAGAAAACTGCGCGATTACAGAGACAGCATATCACGCAGGCCCCCTCCAGCTCTCTCACCTTCAACTGCAGACATTCTCTTTTCTATACTACCCAGGACAGAAATCTCTGGGCAAGTGGAACCAGTGTGCATGGATGGGCTGGGAGAACTGGGAAGTGAGGGGAGCTCTTTAAATGGTCCCTCTCCTTACTAATCTTTCTGTGTAAGCCAGGCTAGTCTCGAACAACTGATCTTCCAGCCTCAAGTTTCTAAGTGCTGGGATTACAGGTATGCCACCGTGCAGGTTCGATTTTGCTTATTTGTTTGTTTGTTGGTAGTGTTCTGTAAGGTTCAGAGGCCTTGTGGATATTATTAAACACATACTCCCATTGAGCCATGTTTCCAGCTCTAGTCAACATTTTTAGAAACCAGAAAGTCTGTTTCAATGCAGTGATTTATTAGCCATGACCTATGGTGATTCATCTATGTCTGCTATTACATTAAGAAGAGACAGTGATAAAATACTGTCCCAGTGTTGTCACAGAGGGCATAGTGCTTATAAGAGTCTGTGGCACAAAGTGATTGCTGAAAAGATGCAGCTTTCTGTGACCATCACAAAGGCCATCCTTTTTCTTTAAAAGTTCAGGAGTAGAGCCAGGCACGGTAGCACACGTTTTTTAATGCCAGCACCTGGAAGGCCAAGGAGGTTGACTGTGAATTTGATTCCAGCCTGGTCTACACAGCAAGTTCCTGGTCGGTCAGAGCCTATCTCAAACAAACAAACAAATAAACAGAAAGTAATGAACAGGCACTGGAGAGACAGCCCAGAGATAGTTAGGAGCATTTTGAGTTCTAGCCTCCTTGGGCATCTACACACATATTGTGTGCTCTCTCTCTCTCTGATATACACACACTAAATTTAAAAAAGTCTTTGAGTATACCCAACATAATCTGACCTAGTATGGCAAGTCATTACCTTAATGAGACCATCTCCTTGGGCAAAGCATGGGTCCTGGACAAAATCAAGCACCTGAAGTGTGAGCTGATGCCACAGCCTAAAAAACAAAAAGTGCTTCAGACACATAAACTAACAGGAAGTAACAGATACCTTCAGCTTTGAAGCATCAAGCAGTACCCACTGCCCAGTACAGTAGTTAAAGCATATGCCAATTAATTCAAGTACATTTCTTAACTCTGTTACCCTTGGTCACTTAGCCTAAGACTCGGTTTTCTTAGGTAACAATGGAGACATCTTTTGAGACTGCGTCAGCACTCACTTTGAGTGTCAACTGGAAGAACTTTGCAATCCTACAGCTATATTTTGAACTCCGTGCTCTCTTATGTATTAGCTGAATACCTCAGAAAGCTGATCCTGAGTCTCCTCATCTGAGGATGAGATGAAGGATGAAATAAGCCAATATCAAAGTATGCCAATATCTACATCTTTAGGACACTGACATAGCACCTTTCACCCAATGGCTAAAGGCTAATATTTAACAGTGCACATAAAGTGCTTTGAAACATACAACGTTACCCACCAAACACTGAAAAATTTCTCGCGAAAACATTAATAGTAGAAAACTGCTGTACAGCGTCAAAACACATGAGTGTCTGTGTGGAAAGGTTCTCTAGGAAAGCTGTTTCTTCATGAAACGCTTTAGATCAATGTCAGCAATCTGTAACTGTTCTGAAGTTCATCCTGTTTCTAATCAAACGCAAACACTAAGATCTCTCCACTGGCAAAAAAGCCAATGGGAAACATAACAAAAAAACAGGGGCAGTGGAGGATGAATCAACGATTCTAGAATCAAGAAGAAATTACAAGCGGTAGACAATCATACCGCGGTTTAGTACAAATTACCAGGGCCCGTGTGTCAAACGGGGTGGCACCTTAGCCTCAAAACTATTTGCTTGTCTGAATTAAGAGCTAGCATTCACAGGCCAGCTCGAGCCCCTTTAGTTAAGATCATACAGAAGACAAAGCCTGTCACAGCCAGTACGTTTTTGGAAAGCAGGAGTCTAGATTCAAGAACCCTGGCAACAGATGTTTCTTTGGCTGTCGCCCCTTTCAGACGCTCCCAGCGCCCTATCCCTTCCCGTCCATCCTCAGAGCTCACTTCTTCGTGTACAGCTCCTCCAATCGGTGCCAAATGGCGGCCTGGCCCGGCCCGGAGCTCTGGCTCTGCTGTAAGAAGGCCGGCACATCCTTCATGATTGCAGAGACCTGAGAACAGAAAACACCAAATAGTCTGAACCGGCAGGGATGGCGGACGGAAGTGCTCGCTCACTTCCGGCACTGCGCCGCGCGGGCATGCCGGGAGCGTCCCAGTCCGGGCTGGTCGCGGTCGTCAAGGTAACCGCGTTCTCGGCTTCAGCCAAATTTCTCCCGCGTATTAGGCCCTCCCCTGGAGGCGTTAAAGAGTAGAGCTGCCTGGGGACAGCTGGTCACCGAGTGGTCACGTGGCCTCAAGCCTTCGGGCGTGGGTCCCCTCAAACAGGGTTGGAGTCTGGCGAGGACTAGGTGTGATGAAATTCCTGACCGCGGTCAGCGCTCAGAGAGCACTAGTTATCACCCTCCCGGTCAAGAAGGTCGAGCGCAGGGTTAACCGAGGAAGCCTCCGAGTTTGGCTTCCCAGAGTCCCATAGCACGGGAAGCTGCCCGCAAGGGTCTGGGTTACCGTGCCGGGAGCTGGGCTGAGCCCCTTGTGCGGCAGAGGCGGGGTGATGATAGTGCTGGGGGGCGGGACTTGGCACGAGGGGGCGGGGATAAGGGTGTCGGGCGGGGCTTAGCTAAACACGGAGGCGGGGATTCAGAAGACACTTGGACTCTCTAGGCGCCGTCTCCCTGCTGAGCATCATGGCGCTGAGTGGTCGACTGGCTTTGGCCGCGCTCAGACTGTGGGGCCCCGGAGGTGAGCCACGGCAGGGAAGCCACCGGGTCCCGCAGATAGGCAGTCGGAGGTGTTTTAGGGGCGGGCAGCTGAAAGCAATTGAGGTCATGAGAACCTGGCGGGTGCGCTCTTCCACAAGGCTCGACTGATCGGCCTCATCCGTCCCTCAACTCTTTAAAGATGTTTTTTTATGCAGCTATTTCCATTGCAGCACGGTCTTTGAATCGTTTTGTGGAAGTTCATTGTATGGGTGTCTTATACTTTCTGTGACAGAAAGTATGACATACTTTCTATTTCCTAAGCTCGAATTATTACAAATAAGTTGTGTTGAATAACCTTGTTTGCGCGCCGTTTTGAAGATGGATTCCCAAAAGACTGCCTTGTGTAAAGTTTATGGCTTGTGTTGTTTTGAGACTGGGTCTCCTAGTTCGTACTGACCTCCAGCTGGCTGTGTGGAGGACTGTGACCTTGAACTCCCCAGCCTGCTGTTTCCACCTCCAACTGCTGAGATTACAGTCACGTGCCGCCACGTCCAGTTGTTGTTTATGTTTTAATTGACCCCCATAAAGGTTGTGAGGTTAAAATTTCACCAACAGACTGTCTGCAAAATAGTAACATGTTTTGTATAGTTCTGGAAATGATCTATGAGGAGCGTATTTTCAGTTTCAAACGGGTGAGTTTATTTAGAGAGAGAAATCATCACATTGATATTTAAAAATATCCAACAGAAATCTACCGAAGAAGCTCCTTTAAGGTATCCCAGTGGAGCTCCCAGCCAAGAGAGTCCCTGGTGGAACAGAGGAACCGCTTTGGTGAGGTCTTTCAGTAAAGGAACAAATAGCAGCACAGAGAGATAATATCAAATTGGATACTTGCTACCCCCAACAAAAACGACTGAGGAAGTTGGTAGTCAGCTGGAGTTCAGGCTCTTTTACATGCCGGGGTAAACACAGGAACCTTTATTGGAAATGGTCACCTAGCTGTTCTCCTAGGCTCAGTGCTTTCACTTCCTTCCTATCACACAGTTAGGGGCGCCAGCCCATTCAGACCTTGGACTTTGAGACAAACATGGGTCTGAAATGGGTGTTATCAACCCTGCCTCCAAAACCAGCTTCTCAGTGAGCTCAAATAACACACACTTTACCAATGTGATGGACATGTTTGGATTTTTTTTTTTCTTTTTTGTGCTGGGGATCAATCTTAGGCCTTGCACTTCTCTGGCAGGCTAAGCTAGCACTGTGCTTCCAAACCTCCCAGTCTAGAGTCCTTAATTTTTAGGGCTGACAGTTGTTAGCAAGGAAATCTAAGTGCCCAATAATGGATAAATATTTGGGTAGACAATGGTCTATCCCCTTGCTGTGTGGAAGACTTTACTAAAGAGGTGTGCAGTCAGGCTATGGCTACAGAGCCTTTTCTCTGCAGCGGACCTTTGGGTGCTGTGGATGGAGCAGGGATCAGGAAAGACACTCAGATTCATGGAGGCATTTCTGATATCTGATCATCTGTCATTAGCCCGACATGGGAACCCTGGGGCTGTCTGTGAGGAGGAGCACCTTTACAGAACATTTCTTCTGCTCTTGATTTTAGATCTTGGGACTCTTAGGTGACTTCACCCTTCTATCTCTCTGTGGTGTCTCGGGCATCACTCAGTGCCAGCCTCTGGGTCTCTTCATCCCAGGGGTTTCCCATGTCATGTAGACGTACTTTAAGTCACACCTTAAGTAAATATTAAGTAGATATTGTCAGCGACTTGCAAACATTTTTTTGTACAGGTGACTAAGAAATGTTCTTCATGTGCCCTGACATGGATGGCTGGCAGTTGCCAGGCACTCAGCAGTGGTCACAGCTTTTCTCTTAACCCTTTTGTATTCTCACATGGTTTGTATTTAAGAGGCGATCAGACAATGTTAGGGCACGCACTATCAGTGAGCTGTCCTTGGTGCTGTGTGAGATGGGGTGTTTGGAGGGGGAGAGATGGTTTTGGAGCCAGAGTTTTCTTTTTCTAATTCTTCATTGTTTTCATCCGGATCCCCCTTGGAGGGTTTCACTGACTTAGCTCAGAAGAGGGACCTTGGTAAATTGCTTTTATGCCCTCCTCTGATACAGCAGAACCTTCAGAAGCATTGGCCCATCTCTGCAGTGGGGGAAGAGGTGAGGCCTTTCTCCTGCTGTTTTTTCTTGCTGTTGTCCTCTGTATTTCCTGTACTCTCTGGTGAGAGGTTTATAAACATAGGTTCCTCCAAATCAGACTAAGAATTAGATTAGGGGTGGGGCTATAATTCTGAGATAAAGCTCTTGCCTCTTCACCCCCAGCACAATAAAACAGTGCCAAAACCAGCAACAAAACACGCCAGTCATCTTTGGCCTCCTTGCTTTGAACTTTGTCGGCCGAGGCTCCGGGTGATGGAGAATTACTGCTGGCTTGCTGGTGGCACACAAGTCCCAGAATAACTGAACACTGTCTGTGTGGATAGGGCAGCTGTGTACTGCAGGTCATAGAAGGGAGAGCTGACAGGCACCCTAACAGGAGAGGGAGCCAGTACCTTTGCCTTTAAGAGGAGGGCCGGTGAGTATCCTTGGGATTCAGCAAGCAAGCATAAACTTTGTGGATTATGGCACTTTGAAGAGGAGATCATGCTTCTCAGGCAGAATATGCTGGATGGGGAAAGGGTTAGAACCACTAGGATTTAGGACATGAAAACAAATAAACCTAAAACGAAGGGTTAAAACTGTCACTAGAAGCTGGGCAGTGGTGACACATGCCTTTAATCCTAGCACTTGGGAGGCAGAGGCAGGCAGATCTCTGTGAGTTCGAGGCCAGCCTGGTCTACAAGAGTTAGTTCCAGGACAGGCTCCAAAGCTACAGAGAAACCCTGTCTCGAAAAACCAGAAAATCAAACCAAGTGGTGCACTTCCTCCAACAAGGCCACACCTCCTAATTCTTCTCAAATAGTGCCTCACTCTGGTAACTAAGCATTCAAATGTATGAGCCTATGGGGGCTATTCTTATTTAAAACACCACAGAGGTTATAACAAACTTTTCCTTTGATGTAGAATGTTTTTGGTTTTGTTTTTTGCTTTCTGAGACAGAGTCTTTCTATAGTCCTGGCTGTCCTAAAACTTACTGTGTAGACCAGGCTGGCCTAGAAATGACAGGAATCTGCCCGCCTCTGTTTCCCAGGCTCTAGGACTAAAGGGGTGCACTGCCACACTGGGTCTGATACAGGGCTTTCTTCCTCTTGGGGGTTACTGGATAAGACAGGAAAGGGTGATAAAGAAAGAAGAGGTGCCAGCCCACGGTGGCACAGGCCTTTAATTCCAGTGCTTGGGAGGCAGAGGCAGGAAAACCTCTGTGAGTTCCAGGCCAGCCTGGTCTCCAGAACTAGTTCCAGGAAAGTCAAGGGAACCCTGTCTCAAAAAACAAACAAACAGAAAAAAAAAAAAAAAGAAGTAAAGTCAGGAAGGAGGGAGGATACTGTGGTGGAGAAGAGAGAAGACAGTGCTGAATGAGAGGGGCCAGGTTGCAGTAAGCAAGAGACAGAGATAATAAATAAATAGAATGAAAATTAAAAAGGCAGGAGTTCTGGGAGAAAAAGCATGAATGCTTGAAACAAAGATTCTGATGAATGCCTTATCACAGATTCTCTGCGACAGCAAGAGTCTACCCAGTGGAGTGCTCAGATAAATCAGTGGACCATAGTCAAATGAAAGCAGGTTCAGACTCCAGGGAGGACTCTCACGTGTCTACCCGAGGCGGTGACAGATATTTGGGCACAGAAGGCTCAATCTGTCACTTGGCACTGATCCTGATGACTGCTGATGAGACCGGATCATACCTGGTGGTGGGGGATGTGTGTGTCTCACATTGAGTGCCTGTCCTGTCGACACAGCAGAGTTCTTGCTTTAAAGGGAATAAGACATAGTTTATCCTGAGCCCAGTGTGAGAGGCCATGCTGGAATCACGGACTCGGGTTAAATCTCAATCTAGAAGGAGTTATATAAGCTTCCAGTCATAGACTATAGGACAGTCAGAAATTTGTGTATTTACCGAGTACATTGGTGGGGACATCAGGGAGGTGGGTTCCAGCCAAGCGGTAAATCTCTGCTGTAGGCCTCAGATCCTTTCTAATGACATCTGTAGCTCCTGGGTTAGTGGAAGCTCGTGTTCTTCGATCTTCGAAGTCGATACATTCCAAAGGTCTTACATCATAATCAAAAGGATGTTAGGTGTCCTACCCAAGGGTCTAAAGATAGCCCAAGGCAGGTTTAGCTCTCAGTCAGCCTGCAGAATTGTCCCCGCTGTGGCCTTTCCAGAGTACCCCTGCTCACACCTCTGATGATGGGGCCGTGGCAGTGCTCCCTGATGCATGCAGTGTCTGTAAACCCTAAATAAATCTTAATTTCTGATACGAGTCGGCTTTCTGCTTTAGTTGGTGGTAGCTATGCATGTTGAAAAGTGGTTATCTGGATGACACTCGAGAGAAGTGCATGTCCATCTTTGGTGGTGGAAAGAGCACAGGGCACTGGCTCTTGCTGACCTCAGACTGATTGCCGCCTGCTGCCTGTCTTTGTGCTCTTGCCGTCAGTGTTACAGGTGGGAGAAGGCCCATAGCCCTCTCTGTGGGAGCCTCCAGCGGCTTAGGATGTGGGGGCAGCAGTGAGAAGGCGAAGCTCTCTCTGCAGGATGTGGCTGAGCTGCTTCGGACCAGAGCCTGCAGGAGGGTCGTGGTCATGGTGGGAGCTGGCATCAGCACACCGAGTGGCATCCCAGACTTCAGGTATGGCACAGTTCCCTGTGATGTCATTCCCCACTCTGTTCTGCAGGGCTCAGTCTTCCCCTTCTGTCTCCACAGATCCCCAGGGAGTGGGCTCTACAGCAACCTGCAGCAGTATAACATCCCATACCCAGAGGCCATTTTTGAACTTGACTTTTTCTTTCACAATCCCAAGCCGTTTTTCACACTGGCCAAGGAGCTGTACCCTGGGCACTATAAGCCTAATGTCACCCACTACTTCCTTCGACTGCTCCACGACAAGGAGCTGCTTCTGCGGCTCTACACACAGAACATAGATGGGCTTGAGAGAGGTGAGCCGCTTGCTCCTTGCATGCCTGTGTCTGCTCCTAAGGAGGGCTGTCTGTGTTTGTGTTTATATGTCATCCCCAGGACGTTACCAGGCAACTGCTATGCCTGTGCCACTTCTGTGTTTGAGCCACAACTGAACCCTCTCAGTAGGCCTGTCTCCCACACACCTTCTGGGGTTTGAGTTTTGGATGGAACTAAAGTTCACATTATTTTGAATCTGGTGTGGATCTATCTCTCTTTCCCCCTCCCGCTCTCCTCTCTTCTTCCCTTTTTCTTTTCCTCTCCGACTCCCTCTCTCCCATGTGTCCTTTCCCTCAGTTTCCATTGCTGACACATGGCCAGGCCTTGTTCTCTGTCCTCTTTTACCCTCCGATTGTTTTCAGGCAGAACCTTCGCATCATAATGTTCATATAGAAACAGAGTCTAAATATCTCTGGATATCCCTGGAAGATATAGCCTTGTTAAGCATAACTCTGGTAGTGTTATATGAAGATGCAGCCTTGTTAAGCATAGCTCTGGTAGGGTTATATGAAGAACCACCAGCATTTCCGTGTTGTCCTGCTCAGTCAGACATGTTTTGGTTCTGCCTCACCCAGTGACAGCAGCAGTGAGGGAGAATTTGCTGGTGCTTCCTCAAGGTGCACTCTGCAGCCATGGCAGTAGTCAGTGAATAGCCACCTCCTCAGACACGAGGGGGTGCTGTGGTCTGAACAAAGGTGGCCCCCTACTCCAGGGACAGGATCCTTCTAAGGAAGAATCTACAGCTCAGAAGCACAGAGACAGCAGTGGCTGCCCCACTAAGGCTGCCTTTTCCCCAGACAGGACAGGTTTTGGGGGAAGGTAGGAATTCCCTGGCTTTGGGTTTCAGCACTGCAGTTACCAAACAGCAGCAATTAACTTCATGAGAAAGCTTTGGTTGTTGAGAAGGTTCTGCTATTGCCCATGCTGGCCTCATGCTGGCCTCCTTGAATTTCCTCTCGCAGACTATCTTAGAACTCAGTTCTTTAGCCTCAGCCAGGATCCAGGCATGGGCCACCACACCCGACTGAGAGGTCACTTTTATTCGCTTATCAGCCACACAGCTGTTTTTGTCCTGTCAAGTCCAGAAGCTGTGCTTTGTGCTTGCATAGCCATCACGGGGCTGCACACTGAGCTTTGGTTTGCATTTCAGTGTCTGGTATTCCTGCCTCAAAGCTGGTTGAAGCTCATGGGACCTTTGCATCAGCTACGTGCACAGTCTGTCGAAGGTCCTTCCCGGGGGAGGACTTCTGGGTAAGTTACCTTGTGAAATTGTTTCTGCCTTCTGCAGTCTTTGGGAGTGGAAGATCTATTATAGTGGTATTTTATGATTGTTTATTTGCTTGTTTTTGAAGCAGGATACTCACAGTGGTCTGAAACTCACCAAATTGTCTAGGCTGGCTGGCCAGGGAACCCTAGGGGTCCACTTTTCTCTGCCTCTCCAGAGTGGGATTACTGGTATATGTCACCATGCCTGGCTTTTGTTTGTTTATTTGAGACAGGGTCTCACTATTTAGAGCAGGCTGGCCTGGAACTCACAGGGATCCAACTGCTTCTGTTGGGATTAAGGATGTGCTAAACCATGCTTGGCTCCTTTATTTTTAATTAAAAGAATACATACTTATAAAAGAACTAAGGCTGGAGGGTATAGGGAGATGGCTGGGTGTATAAAGTGCTGGGCAGGTGTGGCAGCCCACCTAGAATCTCAGATTCCTAGTACAAGCTGATAGCTGGCTTAGCTCTGCTAAACCCAAAGACCTGCGTTTTTCCCAACACCCATGTAAAAGTTGGGCTTCATAGTTCTACATGTCTGTAACCCTGGGTTGAGTGGGTAGAGACAGGTGTATCTGTGGAGCTTATTGGCCAACCAGCTAGCCTAACTAGTGAGCTGCAAATGGGGAGACCCTATCTCAAAACAAGGTGGAGCCAAGCCGTGGTATGTGCCTTTAATCCCAGCACTTTAGGCAGAGGCAGGCAGATCTCTCTGAGTTCAAGGCCAGCCTGGTCTACATTATTATCTAGCCAGGACTAGATAGAGAGACCTGTCTCAAAACACACATGGCACACATAGGAAGAGTGACTGAAGAAGGTGCTCAGCATCCACCTCTGTCTTCCACAGGCATGTGTACAGGTGTGGGTCCACATCCGCAGTACTATCCTGTAAGGTCCAGAGAATCACCTACAGTCACTGTGCTTTCTGTTTCAAGCAGTGAGTTTGTTAAGCATATATAGCAAACAAAAGGGAAAGAACAAGCAGCAAGAACGTGGGTAGGTAGAAGAGGCAGACAGACAGCAAAGCTTTAGGCCAGAAAGGTGGCTTAGCTTAAGTTGTCAGCCATCAGGCCTGATAGATTGAGTTTGAAATGATTATCGTTTCTTTCCTTCATCCCTGGCTCCATCTCTCCCCTCCTTGCTCCATTCTTCCATTCCTTCTAGGACATCAGTTTGGATGTTGTTATAGTTTAAAGCAGATGCTCCCCCACACATGTCAAACATTTGTATGTCTGAGCACCCAGCCTGCAGTTAGTGCTGGTGTAGAGCCTTTGGGATATGAGGCCTGACTGACAGAAGTAGGCCACTTGGGTGGCCCTTTGAAGGCTATTCCAGCTTCAGGTGCTGGCCTTTGCTTTCAGCGTCCAGGTTGGCCATAGTATGAAAAGCTGCAGCCATACATTCCCATCTTCACAAATGGATCCTGTCTTAGTTAGGGTGTCTATTGCTGTGAAGAGACACCATGATTGTGGCAACTCTTAGAAAACATTTAACTGGGACTGGCTTACAGTTCAGAGGCTTTGTCAGTTGTCATCACGGTGGGATATTGATGGCATGCAGGCAGACATGATGCTGGAGAAGGAGCCAAGAGTTCTACATCTGGATCTCCAAGCAGCAGGAAGAGACTGAGACACACTAGGCCTGGCTTGAGTTTCTGAGACCCCAAAGCCCACTCCCAGTGACACACTTCCTCCAACAATGTCACATGTACTCCAGCAAGGCCACACTTCCCAGCAGTATCAGTCTCTCTTAATCTATGGGTCCATTTTCAAACTTCCACAGAGCTAATCTTGGCACCATGATGGACTGAACTCCCTCTCCAGCTGTGAGTCATAATAATATTTCCTCCCTTAAGTTGCTTCTGCCAGGCACTAGTCATAGTTCTGAGAAGAGTGCTGTGACCAAAGCTATATAATCTCTTTGTGCCCTTTTAGTAGTAACTAACACGTACATACTTCTTTTTGTTCACATTTCAGATATTTTTCCTAGCTGAGTTATAGTGTTTACTTGTAATTGCAGAATTCAAGGGCTAGATGGTGGGGGATCGTGAGCTCAGGGCTAACCTAGACTACGTAGTAAAACTCTCTAAAAAACCCTCATAAGGATCTAAGATGTTTCCTTGTAGTAAACATATAGCACAAAAGTCATTATTCATACCATTTTTAAAATATTTACTTCATATATGTATATGTGTGCCCAAGTGCATACATGTGCACCACATGGGTACGGGAGCCTGTAGAAGTCAGAAGGCATTGGATGCCCTGAGACTGGAGTTACAGACAGTTGTGAGCTGCCATGAGGGTTCTGGGACCTGAACCTGGATCTTTTGCAGGAACAAGTGTGCTTAACCACTGAGCCATCACTTCAATCTCCATTTTCATAATTTTTAAATGTAGTTCCAAGGTATTAAGTATATTCTTAATGTTCTGCAGCCAGCATTACCATTTATATCCAGAACAATCTTCATCATACCAATCAGAAACTCCATAGCTATTAAACACCAGCTTCCCCCAAGCCTGTGGTACTGTTCCTTCTATTGTCACCTATTCACTGTCCTTCTGTGACTGGCTACTTTCAGAGTGTAATGTCTTCAGATTTCGCCATCCTATAGTGTGTGTCTGACTTTCTGTCCTTTCTAAAGTTTGCTAATATCCCACTCTGCAGCTGGCCGTGCTTTACACTTGCGTTCCTTTGCTGGTGTAGACTTGGTTTGTTGCTACCCTTTGATTGTTGAGAGTGAATGTGGATGTGCAGATATCTCTCTGAGGTCCTGGTTTCATTTCTTCCCATTGTATTCCTAGGTATGAAATTGTATCCTATGGGAAACCTAACTCTTAATTTTTTTTGCGGTTTCATTGAACTTTTTCACAGAGGCTGCACCAGTTACATCCCTGCCCGTTGTCTCCTGCACTATATCCTCTGCTGACATTGTCTGCTCTGCTCTGAACTTTGCAGCTTTGGTGCTGTCAGGGTGTTCTTCATTTGGTTGGCTATGCTTTTGGCATTTATCATAGCTTTTTTTGTGTTTTTTTCCTAAGGGGTTAAATGTTTTAGCTCTTACATTCATGAATTTGATCCTTTTTGAATTAAGTTTTGTGTATATTATATAACTTTTGTATATAATATATATTATACATATATGGTTCCAACTTGTCAGATGAGATAAGTCAATCTAGTTTGTCACAAGGAATTATGTTTATTGGAGTTTATTAGTATTGTGGACTCAGAGACAATTCAGGAACTTGAGAATGTACCGTGATGATAACTGTGTTCATGGCTTAATCTCAGGGGCTTATTTGGGATTGTGACTGGTGTGCAGGGTAGAACTGTCTCATGAGGAAACCGTGGTTTGGAATAGTTCATGAGGTCTGCATTTGCCGGTGAGTGCAAGCCGTCCCAGAGACAGTCCTTTGTCCCTCTGGACAAATATCCCTGTCCTCCTACCTTGTTCCCTTTCTTCTTCTCCCTCATTCTCTATCTCTTGTCTTTGTCTCTTATTCCCTCCTGCCCTTTGTTCTTCTGGACAAATAAATATCCTTTTTGTGCTGACAACTTGGTCTTGGGGTGTCTTGGGCCGAATACTGGTCCCTTCACATATGACCTGAGACTCTAGATAGACCTACCATCTACAGGCTCTACCTTCTCTCAGTAGCCTGATGGGCTGGGGATTGAGTCCTCAACACATAGCCTTTGGAGTTTTTTTTAAATATTTATTTATTATATTATGTGTATAGCATTCCTTCCACGTGTGCCTGCAAGCCAGAAGGGGACACCAGGTCTCATTACAGATGGTTGTGAGCCACCATGTGGTTGCTGGGAATTGAACTCAGGACCTCTGGAAGAGCAGTCAGTGCTCTTAACCTCTGAGTCATCTCTCCAGCCCTAGCCTTTGGAGTTAAGTTTTTAAATCAACTTTATTTTTTAGCGCTTTAGCAAAATTAAGTAGAAAGTACAGATAGTTACCGTAAATCTGTATTCTTTTGCACATACAGCTTCCATCACTGTCAACATTACACCAAAGTCAGTCTCCTTGCAGCTGATGAGCCCACACTGACGACATTCTTCCCAGGATCCACCGTAACCTTAGTGTGGTATATTCTATGGGTTTGGATAAACGTGTAGAGACAAGTATCCATCAGTGTGGTATCATGCACAGTACTGTCAGTCTCCTTAAGTTCCTCTGTGTTCTGCTTATCCTTTATCTACCCCAACCTCTAGCAATTCTGATCTTACTTCCTTACCATTCTCTTTTCTAGAGTGTCATAACGTTGGGATCACATAGCGTGCAGCCTTTCGTACTGGCTTCTTTCACTTACCAGGGTGTATTTGTTCCTTCCATGTATTTTCCTGGCCTGGCAGCTGACTTCTTATTTGTTCTGAGTAATGTGCAATTTGTCTAGATATACCATGGTTTATCCGTTCTGCTAGCAATATGAATGTTTCATTTCAAGATATGAATCACTTTATACAGCTTTTGTGTGGACAGACATTTTCAGGTTCTTTGGGAAAATATCAAGAAACTTTTTTTTGTTTTTCTTTTAATCTTTTTTTCTTTTTCAAGACAGGGTTTCTTTGTGTAACAGTTCTTTTTTTTTAATATTTACTTATTCATTAGGGATACAATATTCTGTGTGTATGTCTGCAGGCCAGAAGAGAGCACCAGACCTCATTTATGTGGTTGCTGGGAATTGAACTCAGGACCTTTGGAAGAGCAGGCAATGCTCTTAACCACTGAGCCATCTCTCCAGCCCTGTGTAACAGTTCTGACTGTCCTGGAACTAACTCACTTTGTAGATCAGGCTGGCCTCAAACTCACTGAAATCCACCTGCCTTGCCTCGAGATCCATCTGCCTTGCTTCCAAGTGCTAGGATTAAAGGCATGTGCCACCACTGCCCAGCAAGAAACAATCTTTGGATCATCGAAGCAGTGTGTTTTGTAAGAAGCACAAAACTAAGGCTACATATAACTTAGTGGTGTATGTAGTGGGTGTAACTTAGAGAGCTTGACTAGCTCATGTGTGGCCCTGGGTTCAGTTCCCAACATCACACAGACACATACACCACCCAGCTGTCCAAGTGGCTCTGCTATTGTGCATTCCAATCAGCAGTCAAGAACTCTTACTGCTCCACGATCAGTATCTTTTCTTATCTGTGTTCAGGATCTGGGTTAGACATTTGTTCAGGTGTGCAGTGATATCTCATTGCTTTGATTTGCATTTCCTTGGAGGTCTTTAATGGTGAGCAGCTTCTCAAGTGGTCCTTTGTCAGCTGTTATTCTTTGGGGAGGTGTCCATGTATTTTGCTATTTTCTTTTTGTGTGTATATTTTGTTTTTTTTTGTTTCTTTGAGAAGGGATGTCTCTTTGTAGCCCTGGCTGTCCTGAAACTTGCTTCTTTAGACCAGGCTGGCCTTGAACTCAGAGACCTGCCTGCTTCTGCCTCCTGAGTGCTTAGATTAAAGGCACCACCACTATGCTGTATTTTGCTATTTTCAAAATTGATTCTTTGTTTTGTTTTGTTTTTGTTTTTTCGAGACAAGGTTTCTCTGTAGCTTTAGAACCTGTTCTAGAACTGGCTCTGTAGACCATGCTGACCTCAAACTCACAGAGATTTGCCTGTCTCTGTCTCCTGAGTGCTGGGATTAAAGGTGTGAGCCTCCACCTCCTGGCTGATTCCTTTTTTTTTAAAAAAAAAAATTATGTGCATTGGTTTATGCCTGCATGTGTGTCTGTGTGAGGGTGTTGGATCCCTTGAAACTTGAGATACGACAGTTGTGAGCTGCCATGTGGGTGCTGGAAATGAAACCCAGGTCTTCTGGAAGAGCAGCAGTGTTCTTAACCACTGAGCCATCTCTCTAGCCCCCCCCCCCCCCAATTGATTTTTATTGTTGAGCTGTAGTCGGATTTTCCTTTGGGCCACCAGCTTACAAATTAATGACACAGAGACTTATTATGATTTATTAGCTTAGCCTTGTTTTCACCTATCTCTTGTAACTTAAACCAATCCATTTCTATTCTGCACTGTCATGTCCCACCCATCCTGCTTCCTCCCTACCTCCTTGAAGCTCTCTCAGTAGCCTAGATTCTTCCTCCTCCTTTCCCTCTCTTTCTGAAAGTTCCAGTTATTGGCCGTTCAGCTTTTTATTACACCAATCACAGCAGTAAACCTTCACACAGTGTACAAATATCCCACAACACTGAGCTTAAAGAGTTCATTGCACAGCCTGGTCTACAGAGTGAATTCCAGGACAGCCAGGGCTGTTACACAGAGAAACCCTGTCTTGAAAAACAAAAAACCAAACCAAAACAAAGAGCGAGCAGGATGGCTCAGCAGGTATATTATTATATATTATTATTATTATAGAGCTAGCAGGATGGCTCAGCAGGTGTATTATTATATATTATTATAGAGCTAGCAGGATGGCTCAGCAGGTGTATTATTATATATTATAGAGCTAGCAGGGCGGTTCAGCAGGTGTATTATTATATATTATTACTATAGAGCTAGCAGGACGGCTCAGCGGGTGTATTATATATATATTATTATTATAGAGCTAGCAGGATGGCTCAGCAGGTGTATTATTATATATTATTATTATAGAGCTAGCAGGACGGCTCAGCGGGTGTATTATATATATATTATTATTATAGAGCTAGCAAGATGGCTCAGCAGGTGTATTATTATTTACTTTTCTTTTGCTGTAACAAAACACTGTGACCAAGGCAAGGCAATTTCAAAAAAGAATTTGTTTTTGCTTATGGTTTCAGAGGGATAAGAGTCCATCATGGTGGGGACACATGGCAGCAAGCAGCAGACATGGCTGCAAGAATAGGAAGCTCAGAACTCACATCTTCAAACTCAAGCAGGAAGCAGAGAGAGCAAAGTGGAAGTAGGGTGAGGATACGGCTCTCAGAGCCTATGCACACTGACATACTTCCTCCAGCCAGCCTGCACCTCCTAAACGACCCCAAAGAGCACTACCAGCTAGCGACCAGGTGTTAGATGTCCTATGGGGGTCATTGCTTATTCGAAGTACCACAGAAGGTGAAGGTGTTTGCTGCCAAGCCTGACAATTTCAGTTTGATCCTTGGGACTCACATGCTGAGGGAGAGAACCATTTCCTACAGGTTGTCCTGAGTCTCACCTGCCAACTGGCCCCAAAATAATAATGTAGTGAAAGAGTTCTTTATATATTTTAGTTACTAGTTCATTATCTTCTGTTAATATTTCCCCCAGTCTATGGCTTTTCTCTCATTCTTTCTACACTGTCTTTCTCAGACTAGGAGCTCTTAACATTGGTATTACACCATCCCTTATTTCTTTCATGGGGTTGCTTTGGTGTTGAATCTAAAAATTCATTGCCATACCAGAGATCATCTAGGTTTCCTCCTATGTCATCTTCTAGTTTTTCTCTTTATGTGTAGGTCTCTGATCCACTTTAATTTTTGTGAAGCATATAAGTCTGTCTAGGTTCATCCTGTTGCATGTGAATGTGTGTTCCAGCACATGTGTTGAAAAGGCCCTTTTTGGGGGCAGGAGAGATGGCTCAGCAGTTAAGAACACAGGCTGCTCTTCCAGAGGACCTGGGTTCAATTCTCAGCACCCACATGGCAGCTCAACACTCTCTGTAACTCCAGCTCCAGAGGTTTCGATGCACATAAAATAAAAATAAATAATTTTTTAAAAAAGGAAAATGGGGCTGGAGAGATGGCTCAGCAGTTAAGAGCACCAACTGCTCTTCCAGAGGTCCTGAGTTCAATTCCCAGCAACCACACAGTGGCTCACAACCATCTGTAATGAGATCTGGTGCCCTCATCTGGCCTGCAGGACACTGTATAATAAATAAATAAATAAATAAATAAATAAATAAATAAATAAGGAAAATGCCCTTCTTCTTTTTCTACTAAATTGGCTCTGCTTTTTAGTCAGACCAGTTAGTGAGGCTTGTATCAGTTTAGAGCTCCCGCTCTTCTCTTTCTGACCTCTTTCTTCTCTTACCAGTTCAGTAGTCTTGATAGCTTGGCTTTAGAGTCTTTACATCTGGGAGGTCTTTGACTTCGCTTTCCTCCTTCCATGTTGTAGCAGCTATTCTGAATCCATTTGCTAATCATGTTTTCTGCCTAGTTTTCAGACGTTTCCCTCAAGAACTTGCAATTTCACTGTGCTGTGTTTCCGTATAGACCCCTTTTCTTTATTCTGCTTGAAATGCACTTATCACTGCAGGACAATCCCCAGCCATTCTCTCTTCAGACGTTCACCATCCGGCCCTGTTCCTCCCACTCTGTGCACTACTCTCAGTAGAGGAGTCTCTCACCTTCTCTCCGACAGTCATGGGCACTTGGCAGTGTCTGCCATTGTTACTGCTTGTGTTGCATTCTGGGAGATTTCTTTTGATCTGTTTCAAACTCATCAACACATTGTTCTGTTACAGAGAATAAAGTCCTTTCATTGAATTTTACTTTTGCTTTTCACTTCTAGAAGTTCTGCTTGGTTATTCTTTTTTTAATCCATGGCATTTAAAGTTGTTATATTTTTAATAGATATTTCAAGCTACACATTTTCCCCATTAATTTAAATACCATATAGTTTTATTGTCTGTAGCTGATAATCCCTGACATATTTTTGCAATCGTTTCTAGCTGTAAAGATTTATTTTACAAGGATGTTGCTGTGCGCTTTGCCAGAAAGTGGCACTGCCTTGTCTTCTGTTTGGCGTAAGACGTGGTCTAGGTGTGGCTGTTATTCTGCACCGAGGCAGCCGTTGGCAGCTCTGATCACGCCTGACTATGCCAGCAGTGAGCTGACGCTGACGCGCATGCCTTCTAGGGTGGAAGCAGTACCTGGTCACTTGGACTCAAACGGGCCCGGCTTATGCTGCCTTCCTCACTGTATGAGGGATGCCCACACACCTGTCTGCAGACTGTGGGTCAGTCCAGGTGGAGCCTACAAGAGAATTTGAGGGTAAAACTGGGCAATGTCTAGTATTTGATTTGAATATTTCACACATACCCCCCCCATTTTTTTTGAGGGTTGTAAGAAACAGTTGATAAAAAATTGCTAAAGCCACATGGGGTCCATTACTCAGTTCAGATTTTGGACATGTTTAAAATTTTCTTGAGAAGCTCTTGTCTTTTCCTCTTTTTAAAGTCACCTTCCTTGATTCTTGCCCTCTGATTCCCAGACCGATGTGATGGCAGACAGGGTGCCTCACTGCTCTGTCTGTACTGGCGTTGTGAAACCTGACATTGTGTTCTTTGGAGAGCCGCTGCCTGCAAGGTTCTTACTACATGTGGCCGATTTCCCCATGGCAGATCTGCTGCTCATTCTTGGGACTTCCCTGGAGGTTTGTTGAAAGGCACGTGGGGATGGGTGGGAGGGAGGAGGGTTTGGAGGGGGGTAGGCCTGGTTCATGGTGCTGCCTTTCTAGGTAAGCAGAGTCAATGGTAGTGACATTCCAGGGTTTGGGAGCAATGGCTGTGTAGGCGGGCATAAGGGTATAGTAAAAGGTTAGCTATGAGGCAGGATGGAAGGGACTGATCAAGATCCAGAGCTGTCCTTTGGGATGAAGAACAGATGGAAGTCCTGACCTGTGGTGGGAGAAGGTTGGCTGCAGCAGCATCAGTTTAGCTGGTAGGATGCAGTCGGAGGACCAGTTGGGGTCTGCATGTGGGTATGAGGCTCCTGGGAGATGACCACTGGAGGTGGACAAGGAGTGGTCTGCCTCTGAGTCTGAATGCTCCCAAAAGGCATAAAGAGGTAAGACAGTGGGCAAGGGCCCAGCTGTATATAGTCATAGGGGCAGAGGGGCCAAAAAGCGCTCTGTTCAGGAAACCAGATGTGCAAAGGCTTAGGGCTGTGTGAACCCAGCCTGTCCCTGCTACTGTGTGATGTGAGCCAGGCCAGTCCTGGTGCTTTAGACTGCCAAAGTTAGATTTAAAACCAGGGCACAATTAGGGGTGGTGTGCACAGAGGGAAACTATAAATGAACATTGTGGTGGGGGCTGGGGAGGGCTTACATTGCAAATGTGGCGGCTGCTTGGTGTGAGCCTTCTCCGTGAATCTCAATAAAGAGGTAAGGGTATCCACTTAAGTTTTGGCAGGGCACCCCATAGTGTCCAGCAATGAGGCCAGGGTCATGGGGATGGCCATTGGGAAATCTGGTGCCCTGACTCTGCTTAAAAGACTCCTGTGGGCCGTGCTGTGAATTGGTCCTTGCTGATGGGGTTGGATGGTGCTGGCAGGAAGTAGGTAAACCAGCAGGGACCCAGAGCTGTAGGTGTAAAGGCGGAGAGCACTGCGGCCTGTGGGACACGGGCGAGCTGAGCTGCCACAGGCCTAGGATGTGCCTGTTCCTGCTGAGGAGAGCAGCGGAGACAAATACCTTACATGTACTTGAGGTAACAAAGGAGGATGTGGGAGGCAGAGTCAGGAGGGACCTGGGGAAGGGACTGGGCGAAAGGTGAGCAAGCGGAAGATTCCAGAGAGCTGTCAGATACAGGCTTGGAAAAGGCTTATTCCTCAAGAAAAATGAAAATAGCCTTTCCCCCCTGGTTGTCAAAGTACCATATTGCATTTTTCTTTGAGACAGGGTCTCTCTACATAGCTCTAGTTGTCTTGGAACTCACTATGTGGACAAGGCTGGCCTTGAATTCAAGAGATTCACCTGCCTCAGCCCCCAAGTGCTGGGATTAAAGGTGTGTGCTACCACTGCCAGGCCAACCATATGCTTCTTTTAAAAAGACTCGTTTATAACAACATAGTTAAAATGAGGAATCTTTACTTCTTTAAACTTTATTTTTTTTTTTATTCTATGTATGTGGGTGTTTTATCTGCATGTATTTCTGGTGCCTGTTGAGACAAGAAGAGGGCATGATTCCCAGTAACTGGAGTTAGAGCTAGTTGTGAGTTGCCATGTGGGTGCTGGGATTTAAACCCCAGTCCTCTGGAAGAGCAGCTAGAGCTCTAAGCCTCTGAGCCACCCTTCCAGCCCCAAGAATTAGCTCTAAGCCCAGTAGCTATTAATATTCTGGCCTGTTCTCTTGAGTTCTTTTCTTGGGGACAGCTGGCCAGAGGCTGAACACTGTTATGTGGATGGCTTGCACACCCGTCTGGAACAGTCTTGCTGGTGTCCTGCTTGTGGTGTGCCTGTGAGTGTGAGGCCCAGCCAGGAGGAGAGGGTTGACAGATCTGCAGTGTCCTGGATCCCATGGCTATGGAAACAATAGTAACATGCTAGATTGTGGAGTACCCAGGATCTCCACTGTGTCTTATAATATATGGCATATAAAACCATATGATCTTTTTAAAAATCTAAAACATCCAGAATTCTGAAGCATTTCCAGTCATAAGGGTTGTAGGACAAGGAATTGTGGACCTATGAGAAAAATTCTGTAGGTAGTTATTGATTGATGAACAGCAGAGACAAATAGTATTTTTGTATTGTCTGCCTGTGGTGGCTGTCCGTGTTTGTTTACACCCATGCAGGGACTCCTGCTGATAGTGTATGAGGGTCCATTTCCCCACATTTTCACAAATACCAAAAGGACATGTTTTACTTTTCTGCCAGTGTGAAGTTAAAAACAGGTTTGAGGGATGCTGATGGGGCTTAGTGTGTTACTTGCCTAGCATGTACAAAACCTGGGTTAGTTCCCCACCACATGGTGTGAGAACTTAGATGTGGCAGTGCTAACGGTCACTTTCTTTTGTTATGTTTAAAACATCTTTCCCTATACCCTTACCTATAAACCCTATTTTTAGAACCATTTTTTAATATTTGTTTATGTGCATGCCAGAGGACAATTTGTGGGAGTCATTTCTCTCCTTCCACCATGTGGGTCCTGGGGATCAAACTCAGGTTGTCAGGTTTGGTGGTAAGCTCCTTACCCATTGAGCAATTAAGGCCTTCACTTATTTTTTCCTTTAAGAATTGTTATTGAGACTGTCTGGCCTGGCTTGCTAATTTAATTTTTTAAATTTTGTTTATGAGTGTTCACTTGTATGTATGTACACCCTGGGTGCCTGGTACCCACGTACAGGGTACCCTGGAACTGGAGTTACAGACAGCTGTGAACTGCCATGTGGGTTTTGGGAACCAAACCCAAGTCCCCTGCAAGAGCAGCAAATGCTCTAACTGCTGAGCCATCTTTCTAGTCCCTTATTTTGCTTTCTTGAGGTGAGGGTCTTTTTTTCCTATCTCTGGGGTCTTTTTTTTAATATTTATTTATTTATTTTTTTATTTATTTATTTATTATGTATACAATATTCTGTCTGTGTGTATGTCTGCAGGCCAGAAGAGGGCACCAGACCTCATTACAGATGGTTGTGAGCCACTATGTGGTTGCTGGGAATTGAACTCAGGACCTTTGGAAGAGCAGGCAATGCTCTTAACCACTGAGCCATCTCTCCAGCCCTATCTCTGGGGTCTTTATTACCCTTTTCTGATTATTAAGCATATTATTTAAAGGAAAAGGGGAGGGTTGGGGAGAGCTTGGGGGAGTGGGATGGTTGAGATGGAGGAAGGGTGGATATGGGAGCAGGGAAGAGCTATCTTAAGGGAGCCATTTTGGGGTTAGCAAGAGGCTTGGCTCTAGAGGGGTTCCCAGAAGTCCACGGGGATGTCCGCAGCTAGGACCCTGGGCAGTGAAGGAGAGGGTGCCTGAACTGGCTTTGACCTGTAGTCAGACTGATGACTATCTTGAATATCACCATAGAACCTTCGTCCTGTGACGAATGGAGATAGAGACAGAGACCCACATCAAGGTGAGGGTCTTGTGTGGCCCCGGGTGACCTTAAACTTGCTGTGTAGCTGAGGATGACCTTAAACAGCTAACCCTTGTCCCTGCCTGACTGCTGGGATTGCAGGTCCACCACTACTGTACCTGCTCAACAACTGTTTTGTTTACATTTAAGTCCGTGATATATTTGAAACTTCTTTAGTAAAAGGTGAGAATTGACCTTTTTCCTCTCAAGCAAGAGCCAGGCACACCCCTTAATCTACACATTTCCTACGCTCTTATTCTTGGTGCAGACATATGATGGCAGCATTGCCCTTTAGGGAAGGGAGGGGGACCCAGGAGGTGGGACAGTAGCAGGATGGAAGGGGTGCTTGCTCTTCTGTGCCAGGAGAGTATAGGAGAAGCTCAGAGCAGGGCCCAGGCTGAGGAGACAGAGCGGGTGGGAGAAGGAAGATGACGGAAGGCAGAACATGCAGACTGGGAGGAAGGCTAGCGTGTGGGGGAGAAGTCAGGGTTTGTGCTGGCACAAGGAGCAGAAGAGAGGCGGGCTGTAGATGGGAAGAAGTCACCCCGACCAGGGGCGGGAACCTTTAGAACAAAGTGGCAAGCTCTTGAGTCACAGTGTCTGCCTGTCTCCTACCCCAAGGTACCAGCGGCTGTGAAGCTCAGTGTCCTGTTGGTACATGGACACCCTGCCCTTCACACCCTGTCTTTCAGGTGGAGCCATTTGCTAGCTTGTCTGAAGCAGTACAGAAGTCGGTGCCCCGACTGCTCATCAATCGAGACTTGGTGGGTCCCTTTGCTTGGAGTCCTCGCAGCAAGGATGTGGCCCAGCTGGGCGACGTGGTTGAGAGTGTGGAAAGGCTGGTGGACCTCCTGGGCTGGACACAAGAGCTGCAGGATCTCATCCAGCGGGAGACTGGGAAGGTAAACGCTCTGGGCCCAGTCCAAGAGTGCACGTCCTCTTCTGGGCACTGATTTCAGTGCACTGCGGGCATTAGGAGGATGGTGCTCCTACATACTTGCTTCCTACCCCACAACTCACTGGGGCATCTTTCTGTGACCTAGGGGAGGGAAAGGGCTGAGAAGCTGACATTCTTGGCACCCTGCACGGGACAGAGCTAACCAGGCATGATTTATTAATCAGCATCATTATTCATTACAGCCACTGGGAATAGGAAGCCAGACAACACGATGCTCTTGAGACTTTACAGTATCTGTGCTCAGAAAATGATTTCCTATGAGAATTATGTTATATGTGTTTATTTTCTATAGTGGCTCGCTAGCATTCAAGCCCCAACTCTATGATTATAGACAGGGGCAGCAAGGTCCAGAGGATTCCACCACAATAGATCATAATTGATGTTCTGTTGTTGCTAAGATAGAATCTTAAGAAAATTCCAGCCTTGGCATTTACTGTCTTTTGGCTCTGGGCCATGGCCAGCAGTCTCCTCACCTTCACTGGCAAAAGCTCCCAGACTCTCGTGTTTAGTCTGAGCTCTTAATGAAATGGACCAAAGAAAAGCAAGGATGAGCCTTGGCATTTACTGTTGCCACAGATGAAATATAACCACCAGTATTATTTTTATCTTTTTGTTTCAAAATTTGGCTCTTAGGGCTGAATGTACGCTGGTGCCATTTCTTGGAAAACAGTCTTTAGTTAGCCACCCATGTTGTGCTAGGCCTTCTGGGATCCCCGTTCTTGTTCACTTTAAAGTATTTTGCTTGACTTGAATGACTGCTCCAGGTCTGGGATGCAGCCTGTATGTGTGTGAAGTTAACTGACCTCCTGTCTGTTCCAGCTGGATGGACAGGACAGATAAAGCTATTGTCACCTGCGGGAAAGTCACACAGCAGGTCCTCTCCAGGGAGCCATGCCTGAAAACAGCTCGGACAGGTTTACAAATCTGGGTCAAACCGCGTGTGACCTGGGTAACGGTCTTCTGAGGCTGCCTTCGGAAAGACTGCCCAGGATGCTCACCCTGGGGCTATGCCATCACACTGTAGAGGAGCTCCATGTGTCCCACCACTGCTGAAGCCTGCAATGCAGTGCGCCTTTCTGGCAGTGGGCAGCACAGCATGTCCATCCATCGCAGACCAGGGATATACTAGGGTAATCTAGCATTCCCATCTCTACAGAGGCATCTTTAACAACAACAACAACAAAAAATCATTTCTCGCATGAAATAAATTTTAGTATAAAACTTGGCATCCTTTCATCTGTATCTTCAGGACAGTAAGCGTTAACGTATTGCAGGTAGTGTGGATGTCCTTCTCTTGGGTGACAAGACTGAACTGACTCACCAGGTATTAACTCAGGCTCCTCAGTCCCTCAGGAGTCCCATCTGCCCAGCCTTTGCTAAGCCACTTTCCGCTATCCACCCAGGCTTCTCCAGCAACGGTGCTATATCCAGTGGCAGGCGTTACTCTGGGAGATCCCATGCGTCTCTTAGTTTTCCTGTCCTGTGTGCAGCTATGATTAAGCACAGCTGCTTCCTCCTTGGCTCCTCCCCAGAGGATATAGTGCAGGCTGTTCCCCAGGCAGAAGTACCTCCTGTTACTGCACCCATTCTGACCAGGGCTGACGGGCAGACCAACAGCAGATTCCAGGGAATGGGGCCTCCTATCTTTGTTCTCCAACAACAGCAGATGTGCAGTGATCTAGGAAATCTTAAATTCTAAGAGAATGGAATTAGTTTCTGTTTAATATCCTTTCACCTGGCCACTTCACAGATATCCAGTCTTGTCCCAGACTCTCTGTAGTCTGTGCCTCAGAAATCTCAGATTTTACCTTGTCTTACAACCCTTGCCTTCAACAACCACTAAACCAGTGCTTGTGACTGACTGAGCTTTCAGCCAGTGAGGCTCAGGTATGTGAACAATGCAGCGGTGGTTGGACCAGGACCAAGAACCTAGAAGAGGCCACTGGTCCTGTGCTCAGTGGGGCCACAAATAGGAACTGTGATGCTCTGTGTGTTTCCTGGTACACTTAAACAGTAGACTCTTCCATGTGTGAAATACAGCGTATGCTCCACACATGGGCTCTGGGCTGGCATGCCGGCCCAGACATGCCTACACAATGTACACCTCCTAAGTCACCACCCTCATACATGCATGTTCATTTATGTGCCAAGGCAGCTCTGCCCATGTCTGCAGCCACGGCATATGCTTGGCAAAGGTCAAAGAAACAACTTCACTTGTGGAAATTAAGGGTGGCTTCCCAGTCTTCACAGAAAGTATGACTACCACAGTCCTAAACACAAGAAACGGGACCAAAGGCAAATCATGGGTAGTGTGGGGAGTAAAGAGAAAGGCTCCCCTGCTGGAGAGGAGTGTGGCTTCTCTAGGAAGCACCCCAAGGACACGTCTGGAAGCAGCACCAGGTCTGAAGGGGAGCAAAACCGCCGCCATCTTCAGTCAGGGTCCGAGTCGGGATCTGAGGACAGCTGCCCCTCCATAGTCTCACACATCGCATCTTGCAGAGAAGTGAGGTGACCCCGGGGACTCATCCCCATGGGTTGGATGACTCTGTGCCTGCAGGAAAGCACAGTGTGGCTGGGGAAGAGACCTAGTGTGCAGGGCAGGGGGTTAACTCAATCAGGACCAGATCCTAACTGCCACCTAATTTGCCTTGAGATGTCAGGCAGTCCTTTGCATTTCTGTCCTCATTTTCATCATCTATAAACAGGACTTAATGCTAATGGTACCCTCTTTTCTGGAGGGTTACTTCCAGAGCAAGTTATCTCAAAGTCTAATACAGCCTCCCTAGGATCCTAATCTCTGCTAAGCCAGTCTCCATGGGCTCAGAAAACAGAATCGTTCCCATGTCTCCTAGCTACAAGTCTTCCTCACAACACATACCTGGAGAGCTTGTCGAACATGTTCACTAGCTTCATGGCCTCATGTTCCTTCTGCTCCTCTGTCATGCCTTCCATAGGATTGGGTGGCTTCTCTTCCACTCTTCCAGTCACGGGGTTGATGCTGCTCCCCAGGAATGGTGCGTGGGAAATGGGTTAGTGTCGCTATAGGGAAAGTGGGGCTATGTGGGGCAGGAGCTCTCCATCCTCACGCTTAGGGCTGGGTTAGCCAGAACCCACCTTCTTGTGGTGAGTGGTGAGACCTCAGAAGGGAGATTCCCCCACCCGCCACCCCCCAAACACCAGCAGACAGCTAGCTCTTGCCCAGGACCTTCTGGTTCCCAGAGAGCCCACCTGTTGGGCCTTAGTACGTTCAGTATGAACACAAGTGCCTGATTTTAGGTCTTACCTATTCCTCAGCCTGTCCTGTGTTCTACTGGTTCTGGTTGGGGGCAAGGATAAGGGAATGGGGCTATGGAGGAACCCAAGTGTATATTAGGGGCACACACCTGGCCTTGGCTTCCAGGTACTCCTCTGTGTCTGTGTCCTCATCCTCTGAGTACTGGCCCTCGGGCCGGCCCCCAGCCATGAGGCCCCTGGCAGCCAGGAGACCAGCAGCATTCCCGTAGCCTGTGTACTTGATGAATCGGGGCACTGAAGACCAGGGCAGAGGTCAATGTGTGAATATGGCTGAGGCAGGGAAGGCCTGGGGCGTGGGCTCCCCCAACTCACCACTCTCCGAGCATAAGACAAAGAGGAACTCAGCAGCTACCCTCTTCACATCTGTATCCAGGTGAGTCATGAGACGGACAAGCTTGTTTCGAAGTAGATCCCCCACCTCAGGCCGTGTCTTCACATCCCTCAGAGGGGGCAGGACCTAGGGAGGCAGCTCTTCTGAGTGTTGGCTTGGAGCCGCCAGGGACCTATCAAGAGGATCCAACCCTCGTTCCCCAGCTCCATCTCCTTTTCCAAGTACCTGGGCCTTCAGGAACTTCCTGGCAGGACGGTGCATGCGGGCACATTCCGTCAACACACTCAGCACGGGTGCCACACACTCCTTCAGCCTGTGGGTCTGCAGAAGGGCTTCTGTCACTGTGACATGCCCCCATGTAAGATGGGGGCACACTGCACCTTCAACAAATGGTCTGGCAGTAAATTCTCAAGAGACCATGCTGCAGCAAGTTAGCTAAGGGCCAAAGGTAGTGGTGCGTATTTATTAGCTTAAGAAACTATGGAAACACTAAACCAGTCATGGTGGCACAAGCCTGCAATCCCAGAACTTGGGAGGCAGGAAGATGAGACGTTTAAGGTCATCCTTGGCTACATAGGGTATACGAAACCCTTATAAAGAAAAAGGAATGGGAATAGGACTGACTTCTGGAAATGACTGAAAAGCTGTGACTTGGGTCAAACAACTCATTTCTTTAAGACTAAGTACTACAACTATAAACCAGGGCCATGAACAAAACAAGAAGCATCTGAAGCTGTCTGCACACCTCAGGTACACACTGCCCTCAAGAAACAGCAAAAACAAACAAGAGAGTCCCTAAGCGAAGTGCCTCATGGACAGCAAGCAGCGTGCCCATTCCTTCCCTGCCTTCCCATTATCTCCCTGGAGCCCAAATCCAGCAGTTCCAGTAATAGGGACCGGGAGTTACAGCAATGGGGCAGGCAGTCACAGCTAGCATGTTCAGCACCAGCTCCTTTGGCTTCACCCAGCTCATAGGTACTAAGTGCTCTCTGGCTCCTCAGAGATCTAATGAACCTCTCTATGGCTTTCCTCTCTGTGAGCTTGACAAGGACAGGCTAGATTGCCAGCTCTCTAAATATCCCAAGGGGTAGCGGTAGGAGTCAGGAAACCTTTGGTTATGTCTTCTTAGGATACAGAGGGACAGCTGGGGGCAAGGGGTGGGGTAGGGTGTCACCCTAATCCCAGCCCTTGGGAGGCAGAGACAGGCTGATCTCTGAGTTCGAGGTCAGCCTAAGCGAGTTCCAGGACAGCCAGGGCTACTACACAAAGAAACCTGTACCTGTCTTGAAAAACCAAAATAAAAACAAAAACATCCAGAAGGACAACTGATGCTGTCATCTCTGGCTGCCCGTGTATGGGAGCATTCGGAGCCTGGGGGTCACAAGCATGAACCAAAGGCTCCTGAGAACCACATAGACCTTAAAGACAACATTCACCTTGGTAGACCCTGAGAAACTCGCTTTTCTTTGGTAATCAGCAGTGAGGTTCACACACATGCTGTATCCACTAGCTTCTGAGAGGGTGGGTCTGACTGAGCGGCTCCCATCTGGTGGGGCCACAGAGCACAGAGGAATGGTCCAAGTTAGACCGTCAAGCCGACCTCCACTTGCCAGTACCAGTGGTGCAGAAACAGTAGCCACAACTGGGGCCAAAGCCTGTGGGTGTCTACACAGCAGGTCCTCCACCTACCTGGTGCAGACGCTTCTCAAGGAAGGCAAGAAGGGCACTGATCACTTCCATGTTGACTCCCATGAACTCTAAGGAGCCCTCATGTAGCTCCAGGGCAAGAAGGACATCCAGACATTTGAGGGGCAAGTTCCCCAGGAGGTTCACCGTGTGGCTGGGGACAGAGTAACTCTTTAGCACAGATGTAACCCCTGGCTCCTCTCCTGGGGCACACAGGATATAGGGGACTGAAGGACAGCACTGAGGACTAGAGGCGAGGGTAGGTGGTACCCCACGCAAGTTTGGTGGGGAGATGGTAGGTAGACACTCAGCCTGTCCCAAACTGTCTGAACTGAGATACCAGGCAATCTCTGGAAACCAAGGTCAGCTGAGGTACTTACTGGTCACCACCAGCAGGAGCAGGAGATTACATTGCCTTATAATGCCATGGCCATCATGGCCTCCACCTTAGCTCGGAGTTCCTGGGGCTCTCTGGAAACACACTGGTGTCCCAATCCCCTGACAAAGTCATACTCTACGGGGTGACCTGGTGCTTCTGACTCACAGCTAGGGTTGAGGACTGCTGAACCCATGCCTAAGCATCCCCCCACCGCGACACAGTAAGGCCTGCCCCTCACCCATGGAACTCCTCCGTGCGGTCTCCAGCAGCAGCGACCATCACACAGTGCCGCAGAAGGGTCCCCAGGTACCGGTAAAGAGCAGCGTCTTCCTAACCAAAGGCAAAAAGGGGCTCTTGTAAGAAGGGGTCCCTGTTCCTGTGCTCCAGGGTCACCTAGAGCTGATCACTAGGCTCTGCCTACAGCACACTCGGTGACTCTGGCTACCTGAAGCCTTGTGGAGAACACGTCCCCAGTCGGTGCACAACACGGCTCAGAAACCGTCCTTGAACCCCCTGCCTAGACGATCTTATTGTCCTTGCCATACCTGACACCCTGGAACTTGAGGCACGAAGGAAGCAAAAGCACAAAATGTCCCAGCTGAGCAGAGTCCCACCATGACTTTAGGCTACAGCTTACCTCATCCACCTCCCTCTTGACAGAGTCAAAGGTGATGTTAAAGAGCACTTTGAGGATCTCCATGGCCCGGTCCGTCTCCTGGGCCGGAAGTGCCACCGGGGGCTTTTCTGTGGGGGCCACCCCCAGGGTCAGTTCCAGCGCATCCGTCAGCAGGCGCACACCATCCAGCTCCTGAAACAGTTGCTGGCGCACATCAGTGCGAAGGGCTGTTAGCAGGAAGAGGAGCCTCAAGTCGAAGAACTGGACTTCGTGGGGATAGCTCCTTTTGCGGTAGAGTCCCACGCGCTCGGCTAGCCTCACCACCAGGCGAGCGTCTGCGGCCAGCATCTGTGCTGTCGGACTGCTGAGCACGAGATTGCACAGGCATTTGAGAGCCTCGAGGAGGACATCCATGTCTGGGGGCTGTGGGATGGGCTCCTCTGAGATGGTGATGTCAGCATAGCAGGCTAGAGCGTGTAGGCTCTGGCGGCTGGCAAATGAGTCCAGGCAGCTGCGGTCTCGGGACAGGATTCGAATAGTCTGCAGCCAGGTGACACGGGGTGATGGTGACAAGCCCTGCTCCAGGACGGAGACCAGCAGCTTTGCGAGTCTCTGTGGGGAGGGACAGAAGTGGTTCCACCAGGCCCTCTTCTTGGGGTAGCTCATGCCCGCCCTCGGAGTCCCTTGGGCCAACACCTACCTTCCTGTCCTCCTGTTGGGCATCATCGAAGGTGAAGCTCTGGGAGTGCTGTAGGGAGATCCAGTACTTAGGTCCACACGCAGCAGGTAGGACCTGCGCTCAGAGCAGCCGGTCTGCTGCGACTTTTGAGGCAGCAGCCATCACTCTGGACGTAAGGCAAGACCCATCCTCGCCTCCCATACACCTGCCCCACCACTGAAACACCCGAGGCCCAGCCCGCGACCCACCGCCGTGCTCCCTGCCATGCTCGCGCGCACACCCCAGCCCCGTTGCGCGCACACCGCTGCTTCCTCTCTCCATGAAATTTCCTCGGCGGCTGCCGGGTGCCTCTCACCTCCCGGTTGAACGACAGCAGAGCTTCTGTCATTGCATCTTCCTCTCCCGTCTCCAAGGCATCCGCAACTGCCCGGGGCTCCATGGCCCCTGGCACCGGGTGCTGGAAAGCTTGGGCCGGGAAGACGCAATCGGCCAAACCCAGGGGCTCCGCCCAGGTCCGGAAGTCCAGCGTCCACGCGTGAGGGATGCCGGGAGCACGGCCGAGCCGAAAGGGTGTGTGCGGGCATGGGGCGGGTCCCGGGCTGAAGGTGGAGCCCACCTGGCCGCCGTGGCCGAGCAGGCGGCTTGTTCCCTCCCCTCCGGCCGGAGTTTCTGGCAGGCGTGGAGCGAGGTGGGGGGGGCTCGGCCCGCGCGTGGACCGCCCTTCTTACACGCTCATCGCCGAACGGGGAGAGAGCTAAGGGAGCACTGTCCCTAGCTTAGTGGGCTGGGGTCGCATGGCGATTCTCGCGGTCCCTACCCGCGAGGCTCATGCAAGCTCTTTTGGGAACAGGGAAGGACAAGCACAACGACGCGGGCAGTCCGAAGAGGGTGGCTAGCTCGGCGAGGTGGCGCACGCCGTGAGAGGCAGAAGCAGGCAGATCTGTGAGTTCTGGGCCGGACAGGGATACATAGTGAGACCGGCCTCAAAAGACACAAAGGACTAAACCATCAAAATCATGTGGTCTTCCAAGGCAAAAAAAAAAAAAAAAAAAAAAAAAAAAAAAAAAAAAAAAAAAAAAAAAAAAAA